TCAATTTGATTTTAATTTTATATACCAGCTACAAAAATTTAAGACATCATTGTTAGTGAAAAATATTAATACTTATATAAATGATGATTATACCAAACTAATAATTTTGAAGACTCAATGTTGTATAATTTTCAATTCTCAAATTGAATATGAATGCAAATTCAACAAAAGTCACAGCAGGTTTGTTTGCGAAAATTAACATTATATAGAAACCAGAATGGTTGAGGCAAATTTAAAGAATTACAGACTGTCTCCCAAAAACTGCAAAAAGAAGGAAGCAAAGAAAAACCATACAGAATGAAAGGATTTTGTTTATAGGAAGATTTATAATAAAGTTACAGAAATTAAGTAAGAAATAATACAAGATAGACACATAGAGTAATAGAAGAGAAGAGAGAGCAGAAGCAGACCCATTCTTGCAGAAGCATTTGTTTAAGATGAAGGCAGCAGTACAGAAGGATAGGAGAAGGGTGATGTTTTCAACAAATAGTACTGCATCAGTTAGTTACCCAGGTGGGCAATAAGTAAAACTTGGAACCTACTTTGAATATGTCATTTTGGAGTAGCCTGCTGGTTAGTGTAGTTTTATTCCCTTTCCATGAGTATCATTAAATGATATCTTCTTATTTTCTTTTTCATAAAACTTGTAATTATCTCATTTATTTGACTGCTTCAAAAATATTTGTCCTGTACCCACTATAATATAAAGTTCTTAAGATCAAAAACTCTATTCTGCTCATCTTTGTACCTTGAGTGTCTAGAACATTTCCTGGCATGATTGTAAGTCTTTCAATCAATAAATGAGCATATAAATCTGTCAGGAAAATGAGGAGTGAAAAGCACAGATAAGCCTTTGGTCTGGTACATAAAGGATGAGGAGGACTTACTTAGGCAGGCATGGGATGGAGTAACTATTCAGAATATCTTTTACATGGAGAGCACAGCAAATGCAGAAAGCATAAGCTATGTGTGGGAGAACATCCTAGCATGACCTTCTAAGTGGGTCATTCTTAGATGTGGCAAATGGAAATGTATTTAAAATAAGTGCAGTCTTTTATTCCATCACAACTCTCAGATTTATTTTTATTACTTTAACTTAATTTTATGTATGAAAAAAACTTGTTTTCCTACTAAAATAGGCTAGAATCTAAGACTTATCCATCTCCCTCTCCATCTCTCACCCTTTTCCAATTCACGGTATACAAGCAGATACTGTTTAATACTTGTATTACTTGGTATTATGCAAGCCCATTTCCTTTAGTCAAATGTTTGAACAATAATTAATAAGGTTTACTTGTTTTTTTAAGTATAGGTTACTGGGCTTTCCTTATAAGATATTAGACCAGAAAGTCTGAGCCAATTAGTTAGCTAGCTACCCAGGTGAGCTAGAAACACTGCAGACATTGAAACCACTGTATTCTAATCTGAGCCCTTGCTATGCAAAGTACAGACCATTGATAGCATTGACATCACCCACAAAATTGTTAGAAATTCTGGATCTCTGAGAATGAAAATGATGCAGTCTCTATGGAAAACAATGAGGAGTTTTTTCAAAAAACAAGAAATAGAACTATCATATCATTCAGCATTCCCACTTCTGGGTGTTTATACAAAAAAACTAAAATCAGGATCTTGAAGAGATTTTGCAGTTCAGTGTTCGTAATGGCCAAATGTGGAAACGACCTTCCATAGAAATGTCTATGGAAGCTAGGTGTAGTGGCTCACACCTGTAATCCTAGCTACTTGGAAAACTAAGCTCAGGAGGATTGTGGTTCAAGGCCAGACCAGGCAAAAAGTTCGTGAGATACCATCTCAACCAATGCTTGGGTGTAGTGATGCACATCTGTTATCCAAGCTACACAGAAACTAAAATGAGGAAGATGGCAGTTCCAGGTCAGCTCCAGCAAGAAAGTTTGCAAGACTCCATCTCAACAGAAAAAGCTGGGCCTGGTGGTGCATCTGTTGTCCCATTGGAAAAATAAATAAATAAAAACAAAGAAATGTCTATGGAAGGTGAATGGATAATGAAAAATGGTACATACATTTGAACTTTAAAGTTTGAGAAGCAAACCACTGTGTTGCTAGACTCACAGCATCAAGATTAACTGAGAAAATACAAGAATGCAATGTGCTCCATTCTTGAACCACATCTGTTTTAAGAAACAGACTTTAGCAATCAAGCTGGAGAACAACTGACCTATATCATGATCTTGCCTGCAATTTAAAAAAACATTGGTCCAAATCCTCATCCTGCCTTTAAGCACTAACCATTTCTAATTTTAACTTACAGCATATGATTTTTAGCACCACAATTCTACTTACAATCCAGTGGAAATCCAGGAGGGTTAGAGAGGTACCAATGAGAATCTAGGGTATTACTATATTAGTCATTATTCTTCATTGTGAGAAAAAAACCTGAGCAAAAGAACTTAAAAAAAGAAAAACTTATTTTGGCTCACAGTGTCAGCCTGTGCCAGCTGACTCTATTGTTTCTGGGCCTGTGTTGAGGTAATACATCATGGAAGAAAGGCATAGCAGAGCAAAACCTCTCACATCATTGTAGACAGGTTGCTGAAAGAGACAGAGACAGAGAGGAGGGGTCAACAGACAAGAAATACCCTTCAGAGAAATTCTCCTAGTGACCTACTTCCTCCAACCAGGCCCCACCTCCCAAGAGTCCATTCAGCCATGGATTAAGTCATCCATGAAGTTAGAGCTCTCAATCCAATCACCTCTCAGAAGCCCATCAGCTGACAGCCAAGCCCCAACCCATGAGCCTCTTAGGGGCATGCTTAGATTCAGACCTCAACAGTTTCCTACATATGCAACAAAATAGTACACTTACAGCAAGAATTGGAAGATTTGCATTTATGACAAGAATTGGAAAATTTATCCTTTTCCCAAGCTGAGATGTTTTGGAAGCCTCTCTATTTGGGTGAACATGCAGGTCACGTGCTGGTTTACCATAAAACTTCCTTAGAGATGTAGCTATAATTTTGCAATCGTTATTCTAGCAAGGGTTTTACTTCCACCTTGACTTCTACATTGTAAAACACCACCTCTAAAAAAGCAAAACACTGTCAGTGATGGTTGATTACAGTGAGGATAGCACGGTAGGCAGCTGCTTAAGTTTATTGAAGGAAGCCACCACAGGAGAGCAGCTCTAGGCATTTCTAAATAGGCACTGGGGGGGGGTATTCATCCTTCAATTTTACAAATACAGAAATCAAGGCAAGGGTTCCTTAAAATGAAGCCCCACAATGCTGCTACTTTCAATCCATTACCTGGAAATTTTCTCAGTGCTTTCACATTTATTCTAAACACTACTGGCTAAAGGCTTCAAAAGCCTTACTTCTTGTTAGGAACATTAAATAAAGTCATCTTAGAGACCCTGTGCCTTCTTTCTCAGATTAACACCTTTATTTACATATCCAAGGGATATAGATGATTGTGCTTTTTCTTTACTGTGTGTGTGTGTGCGTGTGCGAGAGTGCGTGTACATGGTACACAACATGACTTTGTATGTGTGTTTGTTGCTTGTTTTGAGACAGGAGTCTCATCGTGTACCACAAGCTGGCCTTGAACTAGTGATCCTCCTGCCTCAGCCTCCTGAGTGTTGGAATTACAGGCATATAACACCACACCAGCTAACATAATGTCTTATATTAATGTATAGTGAAATGGTTACAGTAAATTAACATACCCATCATCTCACATCGTTACAGGGATTCTATGGCAAGTACACTGAAAATCTCTTTAACAAGTTTCTAGTATCCAGTGCAATATTAACTACAGGCCTCCCAGTAAACATTACATCTCTTGGTACCCTTTGACCGACATCTTCCATTTCCTCCCAGCCCCTGGTAACCAATTTCTATATTCTGCTTCTATCTGTTTAACTTTAAAGATTTCACATATAAGTAAGCTCATAACCTCCTTTCATTCTGTGTCATGCTTATTTCATTTAGCACAATGTCCCCAGGTCTATGTGCCCATTGACACTCCAGTTGTTTTCATGTCTTGGTAATGAACTTGGGAGTGCAGGTATCTTCTTGAGACCACAATTTCATTCTTTTGGGTATATCCCCAGAAAGAGAATTGAGAGGTGGGGGGGCATATCTTCATATTGGCTTTCCCAGTGATATTTTGGATGGCACACCAAAAGCTCAACAAAAGCAAAAATAGACAAATGTGATTTCATCAAACAAAATGCTTTTGAACATCAAAGGAGACAATTTTAAAAAATGAAGAAAAAAAAAGCAGCCTACGGATTGGGAGAAAATGGTTGTGGAAAAAAAAATCTGAACCATATATCCAAAATACATAAGGAGTTCACACAACTCAATCACAAACCAAAACGACCCACGAATACCCAATTAACAAAGGATCCGAATGTATTTCTCTAGAGAGGACCTACAAATAAATGGCCAACATGTATATGCAAGGCACTCAGCATCAGTAATCAGGGAAGTGCAAGTCGAAACCCCAAGGCGTTATCACCTCACTCCTATTAAGATAGCTATTATGAAAACGATAAGAGAGAGTAAAATATTGACAAAAGTGTAGAAAAGTGAATCTGGAACACTGTCCATGGGACTGAAAATTGTACAGCCATGTAGGAAAACAGCATGGAGGAGCCTCAAAACACAGGACCCAGCCAAGGCTTCCGTGAAAGTCAAAGTCTTCTGTTGCTCACTCTCACTCCGGGGCAGACTCTGGGCAGAGTCAGAGGAGGTTTCCTGGACTCTGCAAGGCTGGCTGGGGCCTCCGTTAGTTTTGGGGTGCTCAGAGAAGCCCTGGGCTCCCGCCAGGTCCCACGGGGCCCAGCAGGGGGCGGCCGGGGCCGCGAGGGGCCGCGCAGGGAGAGGAAGTGCGCGCTGGGCCGGGCCTGGCGCTGGCCGGAGCGGTCTCCGCCAGTTGTCCCCGGGCCGGGTTCCGGGTCCTGTGACCCGCTTGGCCGAGTGGGCGGGGGCATCATCGGGGGCGGGACGGGGCCGACTGGCCAACCTGGCTCGGGAAGTTTCGGCGGCCGCGGATCCCAGCTGGGTTGGGAGCTCACCCCAAGCCTCTGCGCCCATGGCGGGCGCGGGAGCGCAGGAGCCCGGGGCGGCCGGAGCCGCGGCGCCCGAGACCCGCGAGCACCTCTTCAAGGTGCTGGTCATCGGCGAGCTTGGCGTGGGCAAGACCAGCATCATCAAGCGCTACGTCCACCAGCTCTTCTCCCAGCACTACCGGGCCACCATCGGCGTGGACTTCGCCCTCAAGGTCCTCAGCTGGGACAGCAGGACGCTGGTGCGCCTGCAGCTGTGGGACATCGCGGGTAAGCGGCGCCAGTGGCCTCCCTGACTCCTGGTCTCTCTTTCTCTCTCTGCCTGAACTCCCTGCCTGTGCACTTTGGGAGGAAAGACGACAAAGGACACGGGGAGATGCAAGGGGGACGCCAGTGGGGTCAGAACCGCGAAGTGGGTTTTTCAGAGCGGGACGGGATCGATGCGCAGTCAGTGCTGCACTTGTCCCTGCTGCAGGGAGCCCTGTCCTGTTGCCCAGGTGGAAAGGAGTCCCCCACCCCAACCCAGGCTCTCTGTCCTCACAGATGAGGAAGCCCTGAGGGCTGTTCCAGAACACTTTTAGCTCTGGATGGTGACTCCCAGGAAGAGTTGGGGGAGAAGGAGTTCCCATGACAGGACTGAGGGGGTCTAAAAAGGCTGCCTTGGTCACTAAAGTTCAGAGTGATTAAAGGACTGGCTCAAAATTGCACTCCCAGTCTGTGGCACAACCCAAATTAAAAACGGGTTTCTTTTCAACACATTTTTCACCACCTACCTTGATCTGTGCCCTGCTTTTGTAAGGGATTTCTCTTTCCTCATGAGGTGAGGAAGCTGCAAAGACAATTCCAGAAGTTTTAACTCTGACTAATAGCATGTTTGTAACACACCAGGAAGAGTTTGTGGAAAGAAAAGCTTGGATCTAAACCAGGCTTTTGTGAGGGACAATCCATTCCTTAAATAGCTTCCCCCCACTGGGAGGCCAGGTCACCCAGGGGAAGGTCTGGAAAAGTTTCTCTCAGACTTATGCTTCCACCGCTCTTCCCAAACCAACACCTACCCCCTCCCTCCCACTCCACAAATATCGTACTGTGTCCCTGGCTTTTGCTTTCAGTTGTCTGTGTTGGGGACTTGTGCTCCCTAACTGTGAACACTAAACACTGACTCTGGTGTAGTGGTTAGGATGTGAGCATTTAAAAAGAGGTGAACTGTAGGCAGGTTTAATTGTGGAATTGGCAGCAAAGGTTCGCCTTTTGAATCTCTGTCTGCATAGATCATTTCCCAGGTTGGGGAACACCTTACCATCCTTCCTACAAACATACCCTGAAGCCCATGGAGGGTACATGCAGCCCAGAGGGGAATGCATGGCTACTGTCTGCCAGGTAGAGCTCTCTTCATGGATAGCCAGTTACATAGGAAGTAAAGAAGAATTATAGGCTGTATATTTGTTTACTTAAGAACAAATTCCTCTACCTCAGATAAGAGAATACATTGCACTCGTGCACATCAGTCCCTCAGAGAAAGAGGTAAATTAGCTTTGACTTGGCCTTTTTTTTTTTCTTTTTGGTTACCAAAAGTCAGAAGTACGTTTGAAAAGTCATCTTTTGAAGCCAAAGGCTTCTTTCAAAACACTTCCTGCTATTGCCCAGAACACTACTGAATATTTTTTTTCTTCTTAACAAAATCATGGATTCTAAAGGTTGCCTTACCATGTGACAGTCACCATGCAGGAATCTCTAGTGTAGCTTTCCAACAAAGATGACTTTAAACCCTGCCTAAAGGGGAGATGACTTTGCTTCATTCTTTATGTAAATTAATATAGATATTAAATTATGATTCAATCCTACTGCAGATAAATGAATATGAATAACTAGATGTTTACAATGCATATGTTTCTAAGCTTTAAGGTAAAATACTTCTATTTGATGATTTGGGAAAACAGAAGCACAAGTAAGGGTTTTCTCTGTCTATAACCTCTTCTCATTCTTTTTTGTTATTTTTACTTTTTTTTTTGAGATTTGAACTCAGGGCCTGACTCTTGCTAGCCAGACACTCTACCACTTGAGCCATATACCTCCAGCCTGTCTGTTGTTTTTTGAGACAGAGTCTCACTTTGTAGCCCAGTCTGGCCTAGAACTTGCAAAACTCCTGCCTCAGCCTTTGGAGTGCTAGAATTGTAGGCATGAACCACCCTAGCCTCAGCCTTCTTTTTTTTTCCTTTTCTTTCTTTTATTTTTGGAGGTACTGGTGCTTGAATTCAGGGCCTTACACTTGCTAGGCAAGCACTCTTACCACTTGAGCCACTCCACCAGCCCTGTTCTGTGTTGGGCATTTTCAAGTTAGGGTCTAGTGAACTATTTCCCCCAGCCTGCTTTGAACTGCAGTCCTCCTAATCTCTGCCTCCTGAGTTGCTCAGATTACAGGTGTGAGCCACCAATGCCTAGCCAGCTTCAGCCTTCTTGAACAGATATATATCCCATCTTCATCACACCCTGGTAGACACCTGCCAAGATCGAATATTTTGCACTTTTGCCTAAATCCAGCATTTGAGCTTTGTCAGGAGAGAAAGCAGCATTTTAACATCTCCAAAAAGTGTTTCTGATCACTACCTACTATTGTTTCATCAGGAACTGTTTTACCATTTATCAGTTAATAAAATTAGAGGTAAACTTATGAGGTAATTAGAAATTATTAGATTCTTCTTATGTAAGGTTATTGAGAGACGAAATAAATTAGGCTTGGGCTAAGGTTTGGGGAGCTATATCATTAATTATGTGTGGTTTGAATATTTGAGTATTAATGAATCCTACCTGACTCATAATTTTTTAATTAAGTAGGAATGATGTAATGAAGGCCAACTAAAGGCCACTCCAAAACACTTCCCTTGAACCTAAACATATTTGCCTCATGCTGTAACAACATTGGATCATATAGAATTCTCAAATAATAGAACTATTCCTTAACTTCAAAGCAGAAAGTGGAGCCAGCTACTTGATATCATTAACTTTAAGGCTTAATGTTATTACTAGCTCCTTTTGGTTGTTGTTCTGGAGGCTGTAGAGGTGGGCAGAGCAGCAAAGAAATTATGTCAACATTCTCTCTCCTGAAAAGCTTTGTCAAGGGTAATAGGCAAGAATTGAATGTTTTTTGTAAATGTACCAAGCAGATTTAACTAAAGTCTTCAAATTAAGAACTATAGTGACTTCCAGATGCATGCCTCAATGAATATTTTCTGGTGGCACAGAAGGAACCTAGTTTTAAAATAAGTATATAGTTTAATGACATTTTTGTGTAAACCAATTGCTGCCTTTTAAATTCATACCTGCTTTGAGACTGTTGCTCAATTTATAACTGAAATATAGTTACATACTGAAGTCTTCCATAAGATTTTAAAAACAGCTGAACAAACGTACGTAAAACTGTAGTAAGAGCTATCTCTGAAACTCCTTTTCATGCTTAGTGTAGATTAAGTAGTATTTGGATTACTGTGGATGAAAAGCTCATTGCTTATTGGCACCTGTAGAATTTTCCAGCCAGTTTGAATGGCTGTGCTAAGCTAAATCTTAGAATGAATTTGCCCATTTAGATCTACTGTGTTTAGAATCAGTGTATTGATTGAGGTGATTTGTAACATTTCCATGGGCCAAGGATTAAATTGGGAATAATCTACTCTGAAATTCATGTCATAAATTTTGTCAAGGACAAAAAGCACGTTTGGAAGTATTATAAACCACCTAAGCCATATTTAAATTCACTTTTATCAATTTAATTCCCATCCTAAAGCAGATTGTTGATCCTGACTTCCTTGTTTCAGCATATACTTTGGCAATTACTAAACTCAATCTCCTCTTGTCTTCTTTCCTGTCACTCCTTCAACCCTCCATGAGAAAGAAGAATATTACCTTTGAAGCTTTCCTGACCTTTAAAGTATCAGCCAGGGGTTACTAATATTCAGTTGTCTTCCAAATATGAGGAAGCAGTACATTGAGGAATTAGTCTATGTGGTTATTTCTAGTCTCAGCCTCATACACGAATACTACAGTAAGTTTCCTAGTGCTTGCTGGTGGCCTATTAAAAGGACTTTTACAATCTATGCTACATAGATTGATCTGACTCTTGTACAGTTTTGCCATTCTGACTTTATTCCGGCTTCACGTATTGCTGAATTACAAGCAACACCTACTGTCCCACTGAAAACGTGAAATCTGGCTCAGTTTCTGGATCCCCAGTACCTTTGGGTGCCACAGTCTCGGGTATATATTCACAAATGTCTATCAAACAGTGGTTAGCATAACAGCATATTTGTACTTTTGCTCATGGAAAGTCCCCTGATACTGAGGTGCCTGTGATCTGCCACTTTTTAATATGTTACCATTCTTACTTGTTCAATTAACTCAATAAGCTGAAAGATCCTCAGGTTAGCAATATGTAAATTAGCATGCTGATAGGAAATTCTAAAACATTCTTTTGTTCCCAGACATTTGCCTGGCCAGTCTGTCTTTTGAAATGTATTATAGATCCTGGATGCCACATAGTTTAAACACAGAGTGGTGTAGTAACTTACCAGGAAAACACAGATCTTCAGTGGAATTGCGTGGAGATAAGAAGACAATAAGCTTTTAGCAGTACGGCAGGATTTAGGTTTACTGATGTCAAAATAGTAGCACTAATTCTTTTCCAAATTTTCAAATACTTTATCACTATAGAATATGTAAGCTCATATTTTAAACTCAATAATTCAATCCAGGATTTCCCTGTTGCTATACTTCTCACTTAAGAATCTCAGTAATTCTACAGTAGACAGTTTTGATTGACTCCATCATTTTATATATATATATATGTGTGTATATATATATATATATATATATATATAGAGAGAGAGAGAGAGAGAGAGAGAGAGAGAGACTGTTTCTAAACTGTGGACTTCTCTGCAGGTAACAAAGCTGTTTTATTGGTATATGATTGCAATGTACACCTGGAATAGCAAGGCAATAATAAAACTATTGTATGCCCTCACGGGTTACACCTGTAAGCCACATACCGTTCTGGGGATACAAGGTTTATCTTCAGATACATTTTAGGAGAAATTGATCTATAGTACTATCCTGACCACTCAGTTTTTGTAACTTTTTGTATGGAATATTCTATGGTTCTCATTCTGTTTTAAAATGTACCAGGGTTTTATTTATATTCAGGTTTGATGAAGCCAACAGATCAAGAGTCCATTACCATAAAAAGCTAGTTGGTTACTGACCCAGGTCTAAGAGGTGGGGAC